CTACCGGGTCAAAAGATGCCTGATAGTTGGAATTGTGATGTTGTTTCATGAGAAAAAACGCCGAAATAGTATTTTCCATCTATTTTATGAGGCCTTAACCACAAAACAGATATGACTAAGTATCGGAGAGATCAGCATCAAAAATAATTTGTCGGCACGGTAACGGAGATTTGATTTTTGATTGGTTACGCTGGAGGCACTTTAAATAGGTCACAGCAAATAATGGATTCAACGATGCCAAAAAAATCACCTTCCACTAGTCCACGTGGCAAGCCAGTAATGTTATTTGCGGCTTTGCTTGGATATGGAAGGATCCACTGAGTGCTTCCTCGGTGGGATTTCAGACGCACTTGAGCCGCCGCTATCATGCGTCCGAAATTAGACGAGGCAAAATAATTTACAGTCGTACCTGCCGGCCGCAAAATACGACAGAATCTCACCAACCAAACACCCTAGATTAAATAGTTTTCCCTTATGAATAATCCCCACAGTGTCTACCACTCACATTGTTTTAGTACACTAGTTCAAGGGGACCACATTTGTTGTGCCGCGCATTTACCCAAGCAGGACCTCCAGTCTTTGCAGCCCTCGCCTACATTTCAGCGGTTTAGCCGGACCACCACGCTCACGATACCCCAGCCCCTCCGTGGAGAAGTAATAAGCTTTCTTCTATGGAAACATACGATCATAAGGAAGCTAAAATACTAATTTACTTATCCGTTGGAAAATGAAATGTCCAATGAATTAGATGAAATATTGGTGAACATCAATTCCCGCTTAATATTTTCCCAAGTATCCCTACGTAGGACGCAGCACATTAATTCTCTTGGATTTGGAATCTTAGGTCTACCTAAGTTCTAAAGATAATCTTCAAGGGATTGCAATTTAGCCTACGAAAGCGATTACTGGCAGAAGCTAGCGGAGAATCCGAATACACTACTAGGAACTTTACTTACCCTAACACTTTGTGATTCAGAATACAAGGGTGAATTTGCTTTTAAAAGTGCTCTATAAATTTGTATCAAAATGCAGTTCAATCACTACGAAAAATAAGCAAAGTTGCCCACCAATAATACAGCAGCGCTACAGAGGCAAATACCTAAGAATTACCGGAAAAACTTAGAACTTAAAATTCTGCTGTGAAAATAAACAAAACTTGATTTAACAATAGATTTATATGTATTAATTTAAAAGTCAACTTCCTATTTATCATGGGAAATAGATTTTGTAAAAGTTAGATTCCGCTGCTCAAAGACAATTTCAGCTATTCCCTTTAAGATTGAGAATTTGTTTTATCGGAACAATTGGTCTGTTCGCAATGTAGTGGGAGCCGCATCTTCTCCTAATCACTAATTCCACTATTTGATTTAGCGGGCTTGTATTTTGGACAAGCTTTCATAAATGAAAGTATACCTATGTCCTTCAAAACGCAAAATTCTCGAATTGATATAAGTGTAGCGCCCGATACTTCCTTGAAGAGGAAAAAAGACAATACTAGGGCAGAATTTGTATTGCCGACTTTATGAAGGGCTTAGGAACTACCAGCACGGGCCAGTCGTCGGGTCACCTTGAGGACGTACAGTGGTGGAAAGCCTAATTTTCCAGTCACAAAGACGTTGTGTCAAGCGGACAAGTAAAGCATTAACTAGATACGACGGTGGTTAATT